AGATGTGTGAGCCCAGCTGATCACAAAGTAGAACAGGGACTGGTGGTCAGCAGGGTAGAGGGGTCTGGAGGCGCCTGGCGGAAGGTTTGCCGCAGCGGTGAGTCCAGTGTGTGCTCGCACCAGTCGTAGATGGGGTGGGAGGGCTTCTAATGAAGAGATGAAGAATGGAATCCGTGTGCCAGAAAGAAGGCGCTCTCTCTGGCATGTGTTTGCTGAGTCCTCAGGTCACATTCACCCACCTGGGCACAGCATAGGTACATAAGCCCCCAAATAAGCCTGCTGCTACTTCTTGACACAAAGAGCCCTGGTTTCTCCACCCACCAGTGCCAGGGCCATCTCAGCAGGGAGGACCCAGACACAGCCCATCTGGTGCTAGCGAGAATAAGTGCTTTGCCCAGAGGGAATCGGAAAGACAGGCGCAGTCAAATGTGTGCTCGGTGGCTTCTGAGACTTGGCCTCGTGTGTTTGTTGTGCTTGATCCCTGAGTCCGTCTCCTTATGAATCTTCAGTGGTTCAGATTCTCCAACCAAGAGGGCTGTAAAAAGCCTATTTTTAATGCACTCTGTCATTAGACCATGTTACTTTAGGACCTAGAGTGGTTTTGGCACGCATGACATTCTCTTTATAAAGACACAAAGTGGTTAATTCTACGTGAGCATCTCAGCATCTGCCACGTGCTGCTTCTCTGAAGAAATGACCGGTTCTCGTAGTGTTTAAAGTAGGTGAGAATTCCAAACCTGGACCTTTCAGTGCCGTGGCACAGTGGGAATTGGGAGGCCTGTTGCCAGCGAAGGCCCTGTCAGCCGCCCACCAAGTCACACAGCACATTATGCAACCTCTGATACTAACCACAGCGGATGCAGCCGCGGTTCCAAGTCCCTCCCCATACGATAACAGAGTGTGGACAGTTCTTTTATTGTGGTGCGTGACTTCTGGCTTGAACAAGGTCAGTTTATATTCCCTTCTTGCCGCCTTTCCTTTCTTGCTGTGTTAAACAGCTTTAGGGCCAAGGCCCTCTGTGCCTTACAGTTCCACCACGGCTCCATCAAGGCTCTGATGAGGTTTTCTGTGTGAATGAGACACATCTAGCCTAAAGCTGGCCTCACTCCTTTCCTGGCATGTGGTCCTTCCTAGAAGGCCACCAAGGTTAGTCAAGGCCACTGACCCTGCAGAATGGCAGAGTCACAAATAAATTAATATGCATTCAAAGTAGCGAAACAAACTTCTGAGAGAAGTTAAACAACCTGTTCTGGAGGAGAAGGAAACAATGAGGATCTTTTTATATTAGTACTTTTTTGAATGGTTGGTGGTTCAAACTCACCCAGCCGCTCTGTGGGAAAAAGACCTGATAGTCTGCTTCCATAAAGATCACAGCCCAGAAAACCCTATGAGACAGTTCTACTCTGTCACATGGGCTCGTCATGAGTCAGAATCAACTCAACGGCACCCAACAACGATGTCAACATGCTTTAAAGTACAGTTGGAATGACCCTGATTTCAACTCAGTAGGGATATTTAAGTTTAAACTAGGAAAATATCATTTCTTCCCTTTTTTAATATAATTTTTTGTTGTTGTTGAGAATATACACGGCAGAACGTACACCAATTCAGCAGTTTCTACATGTACAACTCAGTGACATTGATTACATTCTTCAAGTTGTTTGACCATTCTCACCCTCCTTTTCTGAGCTGTTGCTCCTCTGTTAGCATAAACTCACTACCCCCTAAGATTCCTATCTAACCTTTCAAGTTGCTGTTGTCAGTTTGATCTCATATAGATAGTTCTTCAAAGAGCACAGTGCTCAAGGCAGACATTTCCTTACTTATTTTTAACACTTTATATTCAGCACCTCCTCCCTGTGTCGTCTGCAGACTTCCTCATCTCACTCTGGAACATCTGGGTAAAGTGCCCGCACTGTGTCTCAGGATCTCCACAGAAGAGTGGTCACTCTCAGGGTGGCGAGGACATTGGCCAGGACATTTGTACTCCTTTCAGTCTGCCATGCCTTCTTATGCCCAACTGAGCCAAGACCCCCGGACAGGGCATGTGTTCCTTGTTCTTTCCTGTTGCTCCCTCCTCGATGGGGACAGACAGGAGCAGCCTCTGAAGTCTGAGCCATGTGCCTCTGTACGTGGCCAGAAGGAGAGTGAGGGCCCGTGTCTCGAGCCTTTATGCACTGTCGTGGCACCCCTTAATGGCCCCGAGTGAAGGCAGTGGGAGCGAGTAGGAGGAGGGGAGAAAGGCACCCAGGGGAAGGAGGTGTATGGCGTCAGTCAGGCAAGCCCACGTCCACTCACCCAGCTGTTTCCTGTTCAGTCGTGGGAGGAGGCAGGATGTGCAGACAAAGCAGAACCCTCAGTACATCTAGCTGCAAGGGCATGTGGCGCCTCACACTGCTGCAGACTGCAGCTCTCCCCACATGGAGCATTGTGTCAGGAAGGCGATAGGCAGCAGAGCTGGAGAGGTCTTTGGGCCAGGATGGGGGCTCTGCCCAGAGCTCTCTGATGTCAGCTCCTGCCGGAGCTCAGCCTCCCACCACCTCTAGACTCCAGACAGAATGCCAGGAAATACAGATTGTGCTCAAGCTGTGCCCTAACATTAGGAAGAAAGTGGTCATCACTCATCCTAACCTGGGCTGTCATTCCCTTAAACAAATGCTCTCTTTTGCATCATCAAAAAGGCCTTTATCTTAAAATGGGAAGGTTGGTGCTTCACGAAGGGTAATTTGCTCTTTTGTTTCTTCCTCTGGGCCCGTTTGGGACAGAGTAGTGGGCAGATAAACGAAATGAGGGGCTGGCTGCTCGGGTCCGTCTTCAGGCTTTTTGTATGAAGTCACATGCTCAAGCTCTCATCTGGTGCTTTTCCAATGACCTTTTCCCCTTCAAAGTCTAGAATGTCGGCAGTTACTTAGGTAGTTGTGGTTGAGGGAAGCAATGTTCTGAGGAGGTAGTATAGAAATGTGAAATATAAATTAGAACTAATTAAATAAAATTAAAAATTCATTTCCTCAATCATACTAGCCACATTCCAAGTGCTTAGTAGCCTCATGCGGCTAGTGGCTACTGTATTGAACAGTAGAGATACAGAACATTTTCGTCATCTTAGGAAGTGATATTGGACCACACTGCTCTGTTACATTAGGACAGCAATTAGGTTTGGCCTACATGGAAGGCACTGTATCCCAGACAGCAACACAAATTATAACAGAATGGAACCTATCGCCTGTTGGCAGAGTCACCCCCAAAGGAATGGAGAGATCAGTAAGCAACCCAGCTGGTGGTATAATACCGAATTGTTTCAAAACCAACTTATAATTGATGCCAAGAAAAAGCACTGTGGGCCCAATAAAATAATGCCATTATTAAGAAATAAAGGGCATTTGAAACTAAAAAAAAAAAGTCTAAAATGTCAGTTTGCTCTGTGTGTGAGAGAGAGAGGCCTGGCTGCTCTTGACACTTAGGTGAGGATGTGGAAGCTGACAGGAACTTTCCCTTGGGGACTCTTCCCCCAGCCCTTTCGTGAGGCGTCACGTGACACCTAGGACCACCATTGTTGGTGTGTGTCTTTCAGAGTGTGTCCAAAGTGAGACCTTTCAGAAGGTTGCATCCTTTGTCTACATGTTGTAATTAATTTTTACCATACTCATTTTTAAGGGAATCTTTGGCATGCCTACTGATTGTGAGGATGGTGCAGTACCAGGCAGTGTTTCGTTCTGTTGTACATAGGGTCGCTATGAGTTGGAACCGACTCAGCAGCACCTAACAACAACAAATTCACTTGCTACTTCTCTTTCTGGCTCTATGTGAGTCACCACTTGAGTGCCCTCAACAATTCTACACCGGGAGTGCTATTGCATTGGGTAGCTGAGCACTTTCTGAAGACAGGGTCAGGCTTGGTTTCAAAGGGGCCCCTCTAGCTGTGGAGCATGTCCCAGCTTGTACTGACATTCCGCTAGATGATGTCTGGGTGATGAGGAGGAGCTTATTGTCACTCCACCTCAGAAATCCAAATGAAAAACCCTTCTTTGTTCTGCACTGTAAATCAGGATAACAGTATGTGAAGTCATAATGGGATATTAGGTTCAAACCGGTTCAACCATGACTGATGAAGCAAAATTGCGACAGATCCAAATTATTAAAATTTGGGTGAACCAAAATGGGAAGAATTACAGGTCGAAGCCCTGGAATGAAAGATTCGGAAGAGGCGTAGTGAGCCCTTTCAGGAGACTGGATTATTGGCAGGATGGTAGAGAGCTACACACATTCAAAGCGGCATAGTTGGCCGCCATCTTTGAGTCGGACAACGCTGTTTCTCACTGTACTAGTCAAGAGATTTGGTTGCTATGCAACGCGCACACTGTCCTTGTTTTTCTAAGAGGGAGATTAAGTTTCTAGCAGGGTTTCAACCCATAATTTTTCCTGTTCCAATTATTCCGACTCACCTACATTTTAAAAATTCGGGTCTGTTGTAATTTTACTTCCTTGGCCATGACTGAACCGGGAAGAACTGGTTCAAAGCCCTGGAAGAAAGTGGAGATGTTTTGGTGCGTGCCTATTCTCTTAAGGATTCGCTGTCCTTAAAGACAATGCCTAGGGTTCACTGGTCCATCTTCTTCAGAAGCAAAGCTGTTTGTAGGAACAGAAATCTAAATTCTAGTTCCACTTCTGTCCCTCCCAGGGGTGTGGCCTGGAGCAGACAAGTCTCCACGTCTGAAAAGGAAGGGATAGCGTGGGTTCAAGGTCACCAGAATCAAGCGGGGAACTTCAAGAACAGTCCAAATTTGAATCTTGGGATTGGAGCTAGGGAAACTGCATTTTAAATTTTTTTTTTAATGTGCTTTTAATTTGACAAATACTTGTGCACTCTTAGTCTTTTTACTTTGCCTTCCTATTTACAAGGAGGCAAAGTAACACTCGTATTACCCTGTTAAGTTCTTCTGTTTGCCAAATTGAGGTTCCTCCATCAAGACTGAGTCGTGAATGTTTTTTCTCCACAACAGGGTGAATCCGTGAAGTACTTCCTGGATAACCTGGACCGGATTGGCCAGCTGGTGAGTAAAGACCCCGCCTCGAGAATTTGTGGTCCAAGATTAGAAAACATTTGGAGACCAAAGCAATCCAAGTCCTAAGGGCTTTAGCTAGATGGTGGGCCATATTTGTAACATCAGATCATCATGAGCAATATTGTAGCTCTTGCTTAGTTCTGTATTTTGTATCAGGGTTGAGGGAGAATTGAGTGCTCAAAGGTGAGGATTCCCTGAGACGCAAGCTGTTCTCACATTCCTGCTTATAAAACTTTGTTACTTTTCACTGCTGTTGAGTCCACTGTGACTCATGGTGACCTTATGGACAACAAAATGAAATCTTGCCCTGGTCCTGCATCATCCTCACAGTTGCCAGCATGTTCTACTCCATCGTTGCAGCTTCTGTATCAATCCATTTCACCGAGGGTCTCCCTTGCCCTCATTGGTCCTCTACTTCCCCAAACACAGTGTCCTCCTCCAGCGATTGATACCTCCTGAGGACATGTCCAAAGCAAGCAAGGCTGACGGTGTTCTGTTGTGATCCACAGGGTTTTCATTGACAGACTTTCAGAAGTAATTCACCAGGCTTTTCTTCCTAGTCTGTCTTAATCTGGAAGCTCCACTGAAATCTGTCCACCATGGTTGACCCTGCTGGTATTTGAAATACCAGTAGCATAGCCTCTAGCATCACAGCCGCATTCAAGCCCCTGCAGTGCGACGCACTGACAGACGGGGGTGGTGTAAAGCTTTAGTCACCACTAAATGAAGACGTGAAGTAGTGTTGTTAAAAGAATCCCTTTGCCCAGATCACCATAAAGGAGACAGGGGAGTTCTTTCGTCAAGGGAGGATTTCCTTTAACTTTTTATTATAGAAAACCCAAATGAAATCTCAAATTCAGGAATTGTTCACTCACGACCAATCTTGTTTCATCAAATCCTTCCCTACCCCAGGAACAAATCCAACATCATGTCATTTCATCAGTAATATTTTAAAGTAGATCTCTAAAAGATATGACTCTTTAAAAAGCATAACCACAATACCATTGTTGCTCCTAAAAAGTTAATAATTCCTTAATATCAACCAATATTCAGTCAATTTTCAGATTTCCCCAGTTGTCTCGTAAATGTTTACTTACTTGTTTGTTTTTCTAGCAGTTTGAATCAAGATCCTGGTAAGGCGTATATATTGCAATTGATTGATGTCACTTAAATGTATTTTAATCTATAGGGGTCTCCCTCCATCTTTTTGTTTCTTTTAATTTATTTGTTGAAGCAACTGGATTATTTATCCTATGGGGTTTCTCAGTCTGGATTTTGCTCTCACATCCCTGTAAGTGTCATTTAACATGTTCCGCTGTCCCATACATCTTGTGAGTTGGTAGTTGCATCCAGAGATACGCGTTTGAATTTTTGGCAAGACAGCTGCGTGAGTGGTGGTGTGCACCCGTCACTGGAGAATTTATAATCCTCCAAAATCAGAGTGGTTTGAGAGTCATTACAGTTGCCTATGTGTGTTGCTAAAGACTTTAAGAGTTTTCCAAGAATAACGTATTCGATATATTGAAAACTTTAAATTGCATTGCAAAGCCTAAATTAAATCCATTCTCAGTAAGGCTTTGGAATGTATATGCTCTGGAAGTTAGAAAAATAAAAAAGTATCTATATAGAGAAACAAAAAAAGATGGTAGATTTTCTCTGGAAAAGAAGACTAGTGAGATTTTAAACTGAGGAGGCTAACAGTGAGGATTCTGGTCGTTCTTCCCCAGACCGATGAGCCTTCATTCTTTTTTTTTTTTTTTTTAAATAAATGGATTAAAATTTTATGTATTATTGCAGTTGCCATCAAGTCAACTCTGACTCATGACGACCCCCATGTGTGTCAGAGTAGAATTGTGCTCCTTAGGGTTTTCAGTGGCTGATTTTTTTTTGCCTCTGTTCGTTTTTAAATGACCTGTTTGATTCCTTCACTTTCTGTTTTGTGGTAAATTTATAATTTTATAAATGAAATTTGCTTTTGGTATTTTGTTCGATGTCTTTCAAAAGTCAATCTAACTCTCTTTCCCTCTACCCTGCCTTCTTGTTCTTATTTTCTCATGATCTCTTCCTCTCCTAAATTTCTCCCTTGTCTTGTATCTTACAGAATTACTTTCCTAGTAAGCAAGACATCCTACTGGCCAGGAAAGCCACCAAGGGCATTGTGGAGCATGACTTCGTTATTAAAAAAATTCCTTTTAAGATGGTGGATGTGGGTGGCCAGCGGTCCCAGCGCCAGAAGTGGTTCCAGTGTTTCGATGGGATCACGTCAATCCTGTTCATGGTGTCCTCTAGTGAGTATGACCAGGTCCTCATGGAGGACAGACGCACCAACCGGCTGGTGGAGTCAATGAACATCTTTGAGACGATCGTCAACAACAAGCTGTTCATCAACGTCTCCATCATCTTGTTCCTCAACAAGACAGACCTCCTGGTGGAGAAGGTGAAAACCGTCAGCATCAAGAAGCACTTCCCCGACTTCAGGGGTGACCCCCACCGGCTGGAGGACGTGCAGCGCTACCTGGTCCAGTGCTTTGACCGGAAAAGGCGCAACCGCAGCAAGCCGCTCTTCCACCACTTCACCACCGCCATCGACACAGAGAACATCCGCTTCGTGTTCCACGCTGTGAAGGACACCATCCTGCAGGAGAACCTGAAGGACATCATGCTGCAGTGAAGAGACCCCAATACTCGTCCTGCCCCTAAGCAGCCCCGCAGCCTCGGGTCAGGAGTCTGGTGGGGGGTGATCCACATGGTCCGGGAGTGGGTTTCTAGGGCCCGGGCCTTCACACACCAGGCTCCCGAATGCCGTGAGACAGCCAGCTGGAAGCGCACTTGGCAGAAGGACAGAGACACTCTGGTGTCAGCTACTGAGTCCTGGGGACCAGGAAAACTACTGAGCAACCACACGATCACCTTGGTATTCATCTGTAATACCTGACGCCACGGCTTGCTTTCTTTTTACAGAAACTGTATTCCTTTCCTGACACCCTTTACATCAAAGCTTGTGTGTATGTGTGTGCACACGCACGCTCGCTCTTCCGCGACAAAAACCTGTACACCCAGCAGCCTTGCAGATGGCTTTTCTGTCTAACTCGCAAGTCCTCCGTGAGGCAGACTAACCTGAGGCCCTGCCTAGCAGTAGTTTGTAGGCGATTGCGTGCGTGCCAGTGCCCCTGAGCTCGGAGCACACGAGGTGACCCCCGGCCCAGCTTTAGAGTCTGACGCCACCGCTCACGTGAATGGCTTGCCTTTTAAAACTCTAGTGCCAGTTTCCTAAGAGACACTCATCTAGGTGTGTTTGATTAAGCCAAGTAGCCTCTCGAGTCTTAGACAGGGAGGTCGAGAGCTTTGTTCATGAGGACTTGCCTCAACGCCTGCAGCCCTCACGCAGGTTTTCTTGCCTTACATGTAGAATTGCCCAGTAGCACAACATGTCATGGAAGCGTGTGGAAACGGCATGCCAACAGCACACAATGATGCGTTTACTTTTCCCCACCCACCCCTTTCTTCCTCCCGCTTCCATGGCAAAGACATACAAACCAAACCAAGTGGCCTTGCAGATGGCTTCTCTGTTTTGCGTGCAAGTCACCTCTGCACCTCCAGTTGGCAGCATTTAGCATTTCCTTCTTTTGGAAATAGCAGAGAGCTTCACATTCCTCTTCTGAGGCTTCCGAAAGCTGGCAAGCTTACTAGCGGAGCTTTGTTAGCACAGCAGCTGCTTGGGGAGTTCCTGGCAGCTGACCTTTCGGGAAGCCCACAGACTCTGGAGAAATCTGAGTTTCTCCATACCACAGCCTCACCAATGCCTTTGGACAGCCAGCTCCTGTTCTCAACTCTCCTGCAAACTGGACTCTCCTCAAGGGCTCTGGCTTCTATTACTGCACACACATAACAAGTAAACCCTGTCACGCATAGCTCTCCTCGGGGTGCAGCTGCAGAGGGCTGGGACGGGAGGGGAACTGACAAACTGAAGCTCGGCTCACTTATCCAGGTTCACCTGGCCAGGTGTCAGTCACTGTGTCCAAAATACATTGCATTCCAAACGCGTCCCCACTGTGTGTCACTCTACTAAAAGTCTGTCCAGTGTGCTTAGGGACTTTCCTACCTAACATTTAAAAAAAAAATATTCTAGCATTAAAGGAAAAAAAAGGTTTATTCTGTAACCAGCACCAGAATGTTGCTGTGGCTGACCACCATCTCCCAGGGCTGTGTGCCAAGACCACGCTTGGTTCCCTGGGTCCCTCTCACCTCTGTCACCTCATTTTTAGCATGCAGAACCCACATAATCTTCTGGAAGATGCGGACCCAAAAGAAGAAGGAGAAAATAGCCGCTTGTGCGTCACCCTGTTTATCACAGCACTTCTGATTAGGAGACAGCATGAATTCTCTCTCTCTGGGCTCTCAAGGGCATGTGTCAGTATTCCCTGGGGTTTTGACTCTTTCTCTTTGGCTGGAAAAAAAGTTGCTGTCTTTGTACTACTTCCTGTGGCTCTTCATAAATGGGCGGATATGACCCAGGATTGGTACTGGTGACCGTGTTTTCAGGGAAGAGAAGGCTCTCGATGGGGTCCCTCAGGATGGTTCTCAGATCCCAGTGGGGTGCGCGCTGTCACCCAGATTAGTTTTCATATTAAGTCTGTCAGGATCCAAAGCCTCCAGGAGATGCAGGCTCCTCCTCTGCCAACCTGGAGATCCCTCCTGGTGCTCTGGAGGTCGCTGCTGTCAGGGTCGGGAGCGTAGACCAGCCTCGTCAGTGCGTGCTCCTGTCCCTTTACACAGTCAGACGTAGTTGCAGCTCGCTTGCAAAACCAGAAAAAAGATGAGGCATTGGGACTTAGGTTTAACTGGTCATCCAAGATAGGGAATAGAAGATAGAGGCGGTGGCCCAAAGCCCAGGGACCTCAGACCAGCTGCCTCTGACCCTGGACACCCTCGCCAAGTCTCTTAGCTCTGCTGAACCTGGGCTTCCTCCTCTCTGTGACTGCCGGGAGAAGTGAAAGTCTTCAAAGGGCCTGCCAGTTTGATACTCTGAGGTTTATTGTTCCTGGTGCAGAAGTTAGCTATTTGCAAGGCTAACCTACAATCACCTGCAACTTTTCTACACATAGGTCATAGTCATTTTGGTCTCCAAAGCCTTAGGCATTTATGTTATTATTTTTAATTTCACTGTTTTTCTCAATTATTGTCTTTTTTTATTGAGATGTTGAAGAAGCAGGAGGCGGCTGTACCTCATCTACTATTGCAAAAAAATATAACAATAAACTTCCTCAAAATAAGACATTTTCCTCATAGTTATACTGTTTACACCTAAGAACACATGTAAGTTTTTTTAATGCAATGTATTTTTAACTTCTGCTGGTAGAGAAATTTGCTCACAGCTTTTGAGTCACAGCTTTGTAATTTATAGAGATCTCTAGAATTCTTGGAATCTTTTTTTACTTCTTTGATAAAAGAAAAACGAGTCAGGTTATTGTAACTCCAAGATCAGAAAATTATCTTGAAACAAAATTTCTAGTTATGACTGGCTGATGAACTTCGGGTCCTGGGAACAGACATTTACAATTTGGTGGTGTAAGAAAAAGATGTCATTAGAATGACATAGTCCAGGTGACTGGCTCCTGTCATACATTTTGCACACTGTGTCACCTTTGCCTAGGAGGGTCTGGGCTAAAGATTGGACCACCTCTATCTCTGGATGTCTTTTGAAACAAATCCTTAGTTTTGTTCTGCCTAAAACAAAATTTCAGCATTCAAAACCAACAGCAAATTAACTTTTCAGTCCCAAAAATTCAGAGCAAATAACTCTAGTCCCCATTTTACTTGAAGGTTCACTATTTCTTGGTGCCAGTTTTTATTTCCACATAGTAAAGAAAGCCTGGCACAGACGAGAAGCACCATAAAGTATTCATTGGCTTGAATGGAAGCTTCTAGAACACAACTTCAAACAGTGCCATGGCAACAGGTACCTGCACAGGTGAGACTGAGGAGTTCTATGCTGATATCTAGAAAGTCCAGGGGAGAAGGGCCTGGTGGCTGACACTCGACATGGTCCAGAAAGCCCTGGGGACCCTAGGAAAGCTAGGGGCGGGGGGGGCGCTCAGATTCCAACCACAAAATGAGGAAACCATCCATGGTGCTCAGGACTCTGCAGAAACTGATGCTTCTGCATAATTGGTCATCTTTCTCCAACAAGCGGGTTTCTAGAGAGAGGGACACATGTACTTGTTCGTTAGCCAATGGCTGGGGGAACTGGGGTGGGGTAGGGGGTCACGGCATATATCTAGGTGTAGGGATTGAACCATCCCAAGTGGGAATGTTGGCACCTTCTCCAGAAGGTGCCAGCAAGATCATACCATGCCCTTAGTTATCCACATGGCTGTGGGGTGAGCTCTCCAAGTTCCAATTTCTTCATCTGGGAAAGCTGGACAAATAGCTATTCTCAGCTCTGGCTACACCGTCGAATCACCTGAGGAGCTTTCAAAAAGGACCCCATGGCTGAGCCACCCTGGACCCATCAAATATGAACATGGACGCAGAGACAGGTATCAAACCAGAAAAACCAAACCCGTTGCCGTCGAGTCAGTTCCAACTCATAGCGACCCTGTAGATATCATTTTTTCTTTTTTTTCAATTTCCCAGGTTTGTTGAATGCGCAGCCAGGGTTGAGAGGCACAGAAGTGGATAACCTCTGAGGCCCCTCCTGGTGTGTGGAATTCTGTCTTCAGCAGGCTGTGAACTGTATGACATGGCACCACGGGGCCCCCAAGTCTTCCCAGGTTGTGGCCAGCAGCCAGCCTCGAGAAGAAACAGCGACTGGGCGTTTCCCCTTGTTCCTGAGAGCGTGAAGAGCAGGGGTTTGCTGTGCCTTTCACAGCGTATCGGGCGACCCTCTCTGGTCTTTGGTGCCATTTGGTCCAGAAGGTGCGTCAGATGTGCTCAGCAGCCTCGTTCCTAAATGATTCCTTGAATGTTAGGAAGCAGCTTTGCTTTGAAGGAAAGACACGCTCTTGGCGAAGGGCTCATTCAGTTTGCACAGCAGCCTTGGAGAGAAGGGATGAGGGGCGTGGAGTTCCATTGCCCCTTCGTCCTTGAAAATGCTGCTTGTGTTTCATTAGGACTTGGCACCGGAGGAGCCAGCCCTTCCCTGTCTGGAAGTTGAGGGTGAGAGTGCAGCGGGGAGGGTGGAATGCCTGCTGCCAGTAGCTCCGGAGAAGAGAATGCGTACAGCCTCAGCAGGAAGGTGATGATTCTGCTAACTTTTGGGTCTGAATCCCGAGCTCCTTTCTCGAGGCTCTGGGTTGGGCCTTGAGGATAAAGGTGCCCCGTCCCCAGAGAAAGGAGCCAGTTCAATTCAGACTCAGAAGTCGAACCTGCTCTGTTAACAGGACTTTACAGGCAGATGGCATGCTACTTTGCACTAGTGTCCAGAAAAAGCTGAGGTCTAAAATTTGGACAGTGATGCTGTGGAGTGGAGCCAGTGGGATACAGAGCCCCCACCCCGGCCTCAGTGGACCCGTTCACAATGTCTGCTTCATACATTCCACTGAAGAGAGATTTCAGGTCCCTAGAGACCTGCTCTCATGGGTCTTCACTGACTTACTGCTCGGTCTCTCCCTTCAGAATTCTCTGGAACTCCAAGGCTGGTACTCATTAGTGTTTGGGGCAGCATATTGAAATAGGTGGATTTGATTTCCCAGCTGCAGTGTTGGTATCTTGTCAGGTGAAAAGTCTTCCAACCACAAGCTTTAAGTGGTGGTCACTGATTGCCAGAAGCATCCCTGTGTCCCCTCTCTCAGTCAGGTTATCATTATTCCCCACCCCTAGATGGCTCCTTAGAGTGGACAGCGTGTGCTGAGTGCACCTGGGGTCTGGGAATCTGGACTCCAGGACCTGTCCTTGGTGCCAGGCGTCCCTACCACACCTCTTGCTGAGCTAGTCCCTAGGAGAGTTGAAAGAGCTGCAGTTTTTTCGGCATATAGATTTCCTCTTCAAAGTCCAAGGAGCCCTGGTGGTGCAGTGGTTAAGTGCTCGGTTGTTAACCAAAAGGTTGGCGGTTCAAACGCACCAGCCACTCCATGGGAGAAAGATGTGTCAGTCTGCTTCCATAAAGATTACAGCCTTGGAAACCATGTGGGGCAGTTCTACTCTGTCCTATAAGGTTGCTCTGAGTGGGAATCGACCCAATGGCAATGGGTTTTTATGGGTTATTCAAAGGATACAACCCCAGATCATAACCAGAAGAAGCAGGTGCTCCAGATATAAGTGGGTTCTCAAATATCCCAGCAGTGTGGCTATACCTGGGGACTGATGTCCTTGGGTAGTAAGGGGTGGGAACTGGGGTAGAACTCAGAAACCAGACAACACGCCAGAATAACAGGGCCCTCACGCTCTCCCAGCAGGTGAGGGTTCTGCATGGCTGAGAACATGGTTAGGAATTGCTTTTGTAGTTCATCCTGGCCTTTGGAAATTGATTCTCCCTTAAATATTCCATTAACAGAAAGTCTGTGTCACTGCAAGGGCCTTATTGCAAGAGACCCTGAAGATGGCGTATCATGGGTGACAAGTTTTCTGAAAGGACAGCTCACTTCACAGTAGAGGTGAAGACCCAGCTCAGCCTGAAAAGTAGCTTCTCTGGCTTTGAGCTAGTTACAGAAGGCAGTGCTTTCTCCAGAGGGTTTTCTTTTCTTACCTGTTTGTAACGTGAACCAGAGGGAACCCTAGACCCGCTCTTTAGTTTCTTGACTTAGCCTGGGTCTCCTGTTGGGGGGCAGACACGAGCCCCAGATGAGTGTGGTCAGCAGTGCCTGGAGCAGCCTAAGCTGGTGGCCATACGGAAGGGCCTTCCTTTCTGACCCGGCCTGTTCTGGGAAAATAAAGGGCTATTGTTCCTGGCCTGCACTTTGGTGCCTTTTTATGAACTTGCTTTATTTTGTATTTTAAGAAGCTGATGTGTTTCACCCTAATGAGCATAGTCCCAGCTACTCCAGACAAGGCGGGGTTCTGCTGGAGACTGCACTTTCCTGGCCGGTCACAAAGACCACCTGCTCCGGGCAGCCGGGCCGCTGTCTCCTCTGATGAAGCCACCGGCTGTCTGCACTGGGAGACCCCATCCCTGCAGAGCCCCTTGGATCAGACGGAAGCAATGTCTCCAGCCCCAGTTCTGGTACCTTCTGGGACTAGTTCAGGGGTTGACCTCCCCCAGCTGATTTCAGACTAACTCGAGTCCAAAAGGAAGACCCTGAGAATGGGGTTGCTGGGAAAGACCAGAACACACAGAGAGGGACACGTGCTTCTGAACGGCACCCCGTGGCTGCTGTCTGAATCTCCAGTCTCGTCCTGGAGGCATCCTCAAAGGCTGGCTGTGCCCTCGCCTGGGCCGGGAGCGTCAAGGCTGGGAGTCGGCACCGCACAGTGCCTGGTTTTCTCTGGACTGTCCAGCCTCCACCACCTCCCTCGTCCCATAACTGGCTCATCTGAAAGTTCCTCACACCAGAGGGCTGTACCACCAAGTGCCTTCCACGTTTGCCCTCCTCAGAAAGGGTACCAGAACAGTGTGCAGAGAAAACTTGTCACCTGAGAGACTGTGAAACTCCAATTTTAATAACTAAACCAGGCTCGCATCTGAGAGTCAGACTGAGCGTTGCTCCTTTGGGGCTCTCCCAACTCACCTAGGCTGCCTGGATGAATCTGACACATTTTCCAGACTCACCTACAAACAGATGGACAGAAACTCCCACCGTTCTATATATGGGTGACAGTTGTTGAAGTGGACCTGTGAGTCATGTTTGGGGCGCTGTCCACAGACCACCCATAGAGCTTGGGACCGTTTTCCCCCATACTTCTTTGTTCTGCATTTACCTGTTAGAGTCTTCAGCAAGCCTGATGATGGAGAACTTCAAAACAGGGTCTCCTTGAGTCGGAATTGACCCAGTGGCAGCTGGGGTTTGGGTTTGATCAAGTCTGTTGGGCTCTAGAATCCCGAATGATTACCTTCTGACCCATTGTGCGCAGTGATTTAAAGCATTCCAAATGTCCTTTTCCTTAACTCCATTCAAACCCAATACAATTGACTGCCATGCTACTCTGTCCACACAAGTGTAGCCAGGAGTTCAGTGTTAATACGCTCAGCCACCTCCTCACGGCCACCGTTCTGTCCCTAACCCACTGGGGTCACCTGCAGGACCCTGCGGAGGGACTGGGGGAGCTGGCTCGGCTTCACCACCCACTTTCCCACCCCAGGGTCAGGGCTGATCCCCTTAAAGGTCCTTTCACCAGACACCCATGGCAGTCTCAAGCCAGCGGTGTATCAATACCATATGCTAGATTAAAATATATATGATGAAGTGTAAAAAGTGTATTTTACAGTTCTGATGGTTAGTTTAACATGTTTTGTATATATGATTTTTATAAATCTATTAAAATTGGCTTTAAATTCCACTTGTTTTCTTGGTGTGTTGTATTCTTTTAAAACGAGCCCTGGTGGCCCAGCGATTACGCTGCTACCTGAAACGTCATCAGATCGAACCCACCCAGCGGCTCCGTAAGAGAAAGACCTGGCAATCTGCTCCTGTAAAGATTACAGCCTAGAAACCCTATGGGGCAGTTCTACTCTGTCACATGGGTCTCTATGAGTCAGAATCAACTAGATGGGACCCAACAACAGCCTTTGAACTGCCAGTCGCTGCTGCCCCAGCCCGCAGTTGCACAGTGAAACCTGACTGCGGCTACCTGCCCTATAAGGACCGGTGGGTCCTGAAATTCATCCTCAGTGTGGCTGCCACAGGAGGTCTCCTCCCTCGCAGGTCTTGTACAGACACTGTGTTTGTCGTGTTCAAAGATCACCAAGCAGCAAAGAGGTTACTGGACTGTGACCTGGTCCTTAGGCTCTTTATTTCCTGCTCGCCTCTTCATTCCTCAGGGGTGCTGGCGTCCCTGGCCCTTCTTTGTCACACCCCTGGACAGAAATCTCATACACTATCCAGAGTTTGGAGACCCTGGGTGGTGCAAACAGCTAATGTGCTAGGATGCTAACAGAAAGATTAGAGGTTCGAGTCCACCCAGAGGCGCCTCTGAAGAAAGGCCTGGCCATCTACTTCCAAAAAATCAGCGACTGAAAAGCCTGTGGAGCACAGTTCTATTCTGACACACATGGGGTCGCCATGAGTCAGGGTGGACTTGACGGCAACCGGTTACTTGTTCC